GCCCCTTTTTCAAAGATAAGATGACTGAGAGTGTTTATAGAGGTTTCTGCATCTTCTAGTCTTCTCCCTTGATCTTCAGGTCTGTTGCATTGCCAGTACCATGCTGATTTTATCACAGTAGCCTTGTAGTACAATTTCAAGTCATGAATTATAATGCCACCTGCCTTATCTTTGTTGCCTTTGCTATTCTAGGTCTTTTCTGGTTCCAGATAAATTTTAGGAATGATTTCTCTAGGTCTGTGAGGTACGTTGGTGGTAGTTTGATAGGGATTGCATTAAATCAGTATAGCAATTTTGGGAGTATGACCATCTTCATAATGTTGCTTCTTCATATCCTGGAGCAGGGAATATCTTTCCATTTTCTGAAATCCTCTACAATCTCTTTTTTCAGAGTACTCTAATTTTGTTTGAAAGGACCTTTGACTTCTTTAGTTAGATTAATTCCAATGTATTTAATTTTTCATGGTGTTATTGTAAAGGTATTGTTTCTCTAATTTCCCTCTCAATGTGTTTGTTATCTGTGTGGAGGAATGCTATTGATGTTTGGGTATTGACTTTATTCTGCTATGCTACTGAATTTCTGTATTAATTCTAGTAGCTTCTTGGTGGAGTTTTTTTTTTTTTTGGGTCTTCTAAGTAAAGTATCACGTCATCTGAAAATAATGATAATTTAACTTCTTCTTTACCTAGTTTTATTCCGTTTATTTCTCTCTCTTGTCTAATGGCTCTAGCTAATGATTCCAAAACTATATTGAATAGAAGGGGTGATAGAGGACATCCTTGTCTTGTACCAGATCTGAGAGTAAAATATTTCAGTTTTTCCCCATTTAGAATTATGTTATCCATTGGGTTGTCATAAATAGCTTTTATCAGATTGAAGTAGAAGTCATCTATTCCAATTTTATGTAGGACTTTGAACATGAATGAGTGTTGGACTTTGTCAAAAGCCTTCTCTGCATCAATTGAGATGATCATGTAACTTTTAATTTTTGCTTGCATTCTACTTTGAAAGAAGGCTTATAATATGATTTTTTGCCTATGATACCAGTTATTATACTGAACAATTCACCCTTTGACCTATTCAATGTATAAGAAATAACACATACTAAAAAGCCTAGAAGCACTGAAGCATTAATTCAGAGGTGAAGTTACCTTAAGGAATAAAGTAGCATAGAGTAACAAATGCCAGTATCCCAAACCAGGAACAAAAGACCAATAGTAGGACAATTGTTTGCAAAGTAAGACCATGTCCTACCATCAAATAATATACCAGAAATATTCTAATGGAATTGTTTTCATTAAGTTACTTTGATTTTTAGGATTTTCTTCTTTAGATTCATAGTGTTGGATTCTTAAGCCATGCTTGAAGTATATTATCAGAAAACTCAGAAAGTGCCAGCACCATGACATATTTTTTTAGGTAAAGATAAATCATATTTCAAGGATGCCTAAAGGGAATCAAATAATGTTTCATATACATAAAACCAGAAGAACAGATCTCTCTCAAGATTAGAATAATAAAATGTAAGAAGACATACAAAATCTTTATTAAATGACCACACAGTAATCTGATACAATAGTTCCTGATACAAGAAAAATAGATTATGAACATACAGTACATTTCTTAAAATCCCAAAGTAAAACATGTTATAGATAAAAATCCATCTCTCACATTGTCATCCACCTTTTATAACTATTTCCCCTCTATATGGATACCCTCTTCCATATATCTATGTGCTGGTCACTGCATCTTCTCAACCATATTTGTCTTCCCATTGAATAACCCATTCCCTACAAAGTCTCTTCAAAATAGTACAACCATCACAAACTTCCCACTGCTACCAAATTTTTACATTGGTTAGCCCTCCTAAAAGAGGGAAACCAGATAAATTCACAATAAGAAGTTTCCAAGGGGTAATAGACTATTTACCATTTGATTTCTCCCCTCTTCTCCAATCTCATGTCTCATATCTTACCACTAGGCCCCTCCCTTCAAGCCACAGTGACCTGCTTTCACAAATATCTTCCTTCAGAATTTCATATAGTTTATGCTAGCACTGACTGTTGAACTTAGCATACTGCTAGGATACCAAACACCTAATAAAATAAATTATAAACAAAAATCAAGCACAGATTATATTTAAATAGATTATTTTCTACTTAACACAGTGACCCAACTTTGAGACTGTCAGCCCCAACAAGCTTCAGAATGAAATCTTGAATGCACATTCTCAGCTAGCAATACCAAAAGACTACATAAACTACGTACTTCTCAAACATGGGGATGACTATTTCTCAAATGTAAATAGATTATGAGGTGATATATAAAATCTAAACATATTCAAAGATCATATCAAATTCATAATTGGCTTATCATTAAATATCTTCTTAGCTCATACACAATAAGTAACTACTGCTATAACAGTTTTTTAAGATGTTGGTATTGTAAAAAGTATCCCATACCAAAAAAAAGTGTTGATAATCCCTAGTCCAGGACTTAATAACTCCTCAGACAAGGTTTGATGTATGTGGATTCCATTGTTTCAATATGTACTCATACAAACTGATATATTTCCTTTTACATTGATGAAGTCAAAAACATTTACAGGTATTAAGTTTTAGTATATGCATAGGAAGAATGCATTTACATATTTTACATTGGAGCAATACATTTAAAGTTACAAATGGAAAATACACAAATATATGTTTATATACATATACTAAAGTCCATACTATCAGCTAACCAGGCCCACAGGGCTGTTTTGTATGACATGTCCCATCCCACATAGTTCATTAGCAGCAACCAATAGAGAATTCAATATTCATAGATAACTCTAAGGTAGGTTGATTGCTTGGTCCTCCTTGAATTTGGGAATCTTCTTAAACTCACTTTGTTTCCTTAAGAAAAGTTGGGCTAAGATGTGGTCCGCCGTGGCCTGGATATAATCATCCATATCAAGGGTTTGCAGCTGATGGTATAAAAATCCAAAAGATGCGTCAGCACAAACTGTTCCCATTCTGCAGAGATCTTACAGCTGTCATGGCATGTGCAGCGCTGCCTGATGTCTGCTATGGACTTCTTCACATGCTTACCTTGAGCACCAGTCTTCCCTTGCCATGGCAAGCTCACCTTTCAACTCTAAGTATGGAGTGTCTAATGGCTAGAATGGCTGAGGAAATTGAAGATTTCCTTAGAAGGAACTTCTGAACTAATGGGAAATGGTTCTCTGCGAGAAGCAAGCAGGTTGTCTTTCTTCCTGTGAGCAAAGACTAACAGCCAAGCACTTCTCAGAGCCCCAAGCCCAGGGCACATGATAAGGTAAACCTGCTACCAAATAAGTGATCCCAGTTCTCCACAGCCAGACACCAGTCTCTCCCCACAGGGCTGAAAAATCTCTGCCTGGGCTGGATATCCAGTGGGCTGAGTCTACTTTGACTACTCTATGTCTTTCTTTGTCCCATATATCATGCCCCATTCCCTTCTTTATTCCCTTCCCTCTCAGTCTTTTCTTAATTTCTGTTTGTTTCTATGTATAAGGATCCATCTCTTGTGCTTGCCTGGCAAGTACAAGGGCCTGAGTTCAATCCCCAGTTCTGCCAAAAAAAAAAAAAAAAGATCCATCTCTTTACTTCCTTTCTTCCTTTCATATTCCTGATACAAAATATACCCCTTTTATAAGCCTTTCTCACTACTCACTCCAACTGGGTAATGGGGGACTATCATTACGCAAATGTATATTGTACACTCCTAAGGGCAGAAATAGGAATAAAAAATTCCTCCTATCCAAAATTCTAATCATTCCTTTCTTCCCTGTTATAGATCACTCCATAAGTTGTTTCTTTTCATTTAAAAATTATACCTCTATCTCTTCATAAAATATTCATAATCTTTATTTTTGGCTTATACTAAATGGTTATCAATATTTTATCCTTTCACATTTTTAAAATTTTAATAGTTGATATTAGCCTTTGATGGCACATTAAGTTGTACTTATCTCTGATATTTACTTTATTAACTTTTTACCTTTGTAATATTTTATAGCTTACTCTTTATTTTGAATTCTCTTTTCCTATTTTTTTTATGTATTTAGTACAGGGTCTACAGGGTCCCATTACTCAGATCTGACTCATAGTGATCCTCCTGTTTTCAACCTCCAAAGCACTGGGATTACAGGTGTCCAGTCTCATTCATTGTCTTAGCATGCTCCAGGGGCAGGGCCAGCACAGCAAGCTGGGGATCAAACCTGGTCCCTGTGTCTGCCTAAGCAGGTGCTTTAATCAACTGAGCCATCTGGCTGTCCCTTTTCTTAAATGTTTAAACTCTAACTTGCTATTTTTAACATAAGTTTTTTCTTCTTTTTTGTTTATATTTTCTTGAGTTGGATTTTTCTTGCTGATTTGGTCTTAAAATGGCTGTAGAAAATGGTGCCAAGGAGGTGGTAATGCCAGTAAGTACGAGTCACTAGAATCCTCCCAGCAGTCTACAACCAACTGTAGGTTCTGTCTCTTTTTCACATAGATCTCTATGAACCTTATCCAGATATACCCAGGAAGGTTTTGAGCCAGAGGGAATCAGGTACTGGAACATTCCAGTCATCCCCACAGAAGGTAGGACATTGTTCTAGGAAATAAGCACCACTGAACAGGCATACCCTGCTTTTGGGCTGAAGGCCTGCATAATTCTGAACACAATGTGTTCACCCCTGGGCCTTTGCTGTGTGTCCCTGCAGGAAGAACCACAGCCAGAAGACAGGTCTGTCTGCTCCCAGATTCATACCAGGTGTTCCTAAACAGACTGTTAAAATTCTCACTCAGTATCAGAAGGTAACCTAGTCCTAAGGACTCCTAAATATCTAAAGTTCACAGGAAAGGGAGGAAAAGGAGATTAATTTAAAACAAAAAATTTAAAGGTGGCATTGTAAAGTGCTTTGTACATACACCAAGTCCTTAATAAATCATGAGTGAATTTTAAGAGCAACAGGTTAATTCAGTGAATAGTTATCTAATTTATGCTTTATAGTTTAAATCCTATTAGAAATGCTTAAAATATCATGAGAAAAAAATGTTAATTACTCCAAAGTTTCTTTCCATACATAAGAACCTCTCTCTGTCACTCTGTCTCTGTCTGTGTGTGTGTGCATGTGTCTATGTGTGTGTGTGTGTGTGTGTGTGTGTGTGTGTGTGTATCTCCCTTTCTCATTCAATGTCTCTCTTCCCTGCACATCCCATCCATGTAAGAGGAACAAAGCAGGCATGCTCACTTCAAGTCCTCCATCTTTATATTCAGCATCTGACAAACCTTCAAGGAGCAGCTGCTACTTTATGCTATAAGGTGTTTAAGAATGTGTCTTAACATGCTGGGGAAATAGCTCAGTAGAAAAAGTGAGTAGAAAAGTCCTGAGTTCAATCCCTTGTACCACAAAAAAAAGTGCCTCAACATAAGTGTGCCTAGTTCATTTTTGGATCAATTTTGGAAATTCATTTGCCCACAGATATTAGTCTCATTCTCTAATATCTACTTGGTTAGGGACAGCGAGATAACTCAGTAGTCTAAAGTGCCTGCTTAGGCAAGGTTAGGCAAGCACAGAGACTGTGATTTGATCCCCAGCACCACATTCCATGCCAGCCTTGTCCCCAGGGAAGGCTGAGCTGCCCACAAAAA